TATTCATGTGAATATGTATAATTTTATCGTTACTTTTAAAAACAGTTTGTTTTTTTTTTCAAATTATTAATCAAGCAATAATCTACATCTAAACATTATCCAAAATGTGTATTTAGAGATAAACAAAATGTAGAAAATAGCTGCTATATAGCAATTTTGTAGACAATAGGAACAGCTAGGCTTGATGTTTCCATGATTTCTCTTTACATCAGAGGTTGACCATTATGTGGTGTTGTGTCTGACCAGTCAAGAAGAATTTTAAATGGGTTTGAAAAGTGATACTTGAAATAATCATCTTCATCTTTTCCCCTGAAAAAAAAACATACATGTATACTTTAATCAAAAATCAATTGTTTAATATCTACTACATTTTTCATGTGATAACAAATACAAGTATATAAGCATATCTATTTTTATCAAAATGTATATAATACTAAGCTAGTAGTTAGTATTTACATCTTGAAATAAATTGCCTCAAAATTCCTGCATGTGTACTTAAAAAGCAGGCTTCATATCACAGGTGCTTGGGGACGGGACCCCCCCCCCCCCCCCCCCATAAAAATTCATACTCTCGGATACTAAAAGAGAACTTTAGTATCAGAGATTATGAATTTTAATAAAAGGTTAGTTTTAGATTATATTTTGGATTTTTGAATTGTAATACTTTGTGAATGTGTAATAGAAATGTATTTTATTATAAAAAAAGTCGGGGAGAACCCTTGGAGTATGGAACGCGGGGGAGGGGGTCCCATTCCCAAGCACCTGTGCTTCATATTTTATTGCCTTTAACGCAGACAACAATGCACCAATTAATGAATACCTTAACTAAATCATTAATAAATACAATACATGCCGCAGACGTATGTAGCGCTAATTCATGATTACTCCATACCCAGTGATTGCGCTAAATTTTGAATACGCCAATTTATGTACACATACAGTATTTTCAGTGTAGCCAATCGCAAGATAAAAGTAACTGAAACAATTTACCATCACCTACTCCAAAAGCTGTCCCCATGCTCAAACAGAATCTTCTCCAAAAGAATATTGTTCAGGGAAGATACTGTCCAATGTTCAATTCTCACAGTCAATTGCAAGGTTTCTGTCTCCATTAGTTAATTTTGTAACTGCCTCCTGCTTCTGGTATATAGCCTTTGTGTTGAATAATGATGATAAAAACACAAGAATAAAGGTTCTTTCCCAAGCATTTGCAACTATATCAATCATTACTGTATACTGGATATTTCTATTTGTAGTTAATTTATACATATAGGCCTATGCAATTTTCTTGTATAAATCATATGCATTAGGGATAATCATACAAGTCATCAACACTATTTCATATATATATATATATATATATATATATATATATATATATATATATATATATATATATATATATATATATATATATATATATATATATAATTGCATATTAAATAAATTTTATACATATTCAATGTATGAACTTGTACTCACAAGCGAAACTTTCCTGAACAAGTTCTGATTGAATATTTATAAATTATACCCACCATAAATTTGCTTGTGAATTAAGATTATCTTAAAAGTTTGATAAAGCATACATCAAGTGAAAAAAGAAAATTGAATTAATTAAATTATAGTGTACTTACAGTTGCTCATATATCCTTCATCGTTGTACTATTTGAGTGCAACCTTTCATAAGTGATGCTCCTGTGTCACAGTCCTAAATTATATTATATTTTTATCTTATTAGTTTGTATTTATAGCTGCAGTTAAATATGTTTGTTCTTTTACAGTGAATCGGAATTATATGACTTCTTTTTAGGCTAAATTTTTTTTTTATGTGTTTCCGTTAAGTCGACCATCTCTAATTTTTACCCACCACCAACTACTTTTTTGGCCAAATTAGATTTTAAACTGTACCAATGGCGGATTTAGAGGGGGGTCCAGCCCCCCCCCCCCTTTGTGTCCAAAATATACATCAGATTTCAGATTTAATAAATCAATTTTTTTGGTGTGGCCTTGAGCCAGTATCCCGAGACCACACTGGTCCCCCCCCCTTTTCAAGATTCCTGGAACCGCCACTGTGTACAATGTTTCCAAAAATATATAATTTTTTTATATAGCCTTGTGTATATTTTTTATTACATACAAACTTACATCTTCTAAAATATTCTCCTCCTTTTGATAAACTTTGTTGTTATGATTTGCCAAAGTAAGTTGCTTTCTGAAGCAAGCAAAAATTCCTATAATGCAAATATATTAATAAGATGTATATATCTGGAATATCCTGCTAACATGGTGATCTTTGAATATAGACCAATTAAGTCTATTATATAAAAAAAATTATTTAAAATGTCAATTTATTTGAAAAAAGCTTCTTACGTGTAGTTTTTATACAAAATGAATATTTGAAAACATTCAAATTCATACCTGTGCCTAGGGTTGTTCTAACCATTCCCACTGACTGCCCTATCTTCTGCTTGTTGTTTTCCTCCAATTGCATCTTGTATTTTTCTCATGGGTTTTAGAGTACATGGAATCCCACATGATGGGAATGCAAGTCAGACCTCATAAAATTTGTTTCAATATTTTGCAAAGTGAATTTGACATTAAAAATCTATTATCATAATAAAGACCTGTACATCATTATCAAGTTGAATGCTGAGAAAGCAGTGTCTCCTTCATTTGATGAATTCCTTTGCCATTCACACCCGAATTCCAATTTAAAAAGTTGAAAAACACATCATTTTTCCGTTATTGTTTCATGTTTATTTTTCTGGCGTCTGTTTTTGCCACATGTTGTTATAAACTTCTTTAGACTTCAATACAGGAGAGTCAACAAAGGGAAATAACACCAGTTTAATTTTTTGTCTTCAGTGCAAAAGAGTCAGCAAAGGGAAATAACTCTAGGTTAATTTTTAGGAAAAGTTATAATTTGAGGGGATTGGAATATGACTTTTAACTGATTTCCCCACCTCAAATCTTTTTGCATCTTTTAGATCTAAGCTTGATCTTACTAAAAAGATCTTTTTTCTAAGTTTCAATTGCCTGCAAAATTTAATATGCATATCAAGAAATAGGCACCTTTGTATTCATTTTTATGACAAATTCATGTAAATTGATCTGTATCATATTAAAAACCTTGGGTTAAATTGAATAAAATTTAGATGCACAGAAACTTTGATTACTTAGCTGTAAAATGAAACCCATGTTATGTTCATAACTTTCCTACATTAAGGAAGCACGGAATTATTTTACATGGTGATGACAATCAGGTCAGTTTTGCCATGACAAAATATTTCAAAGTCGTTGCTATGGAAACCAAGGAGGTACTGTCCAAAATTTACCCACCAATAGTCTTTATATAGGGCACTCTCTAATATTATAGTGATAAAATAAAATTCCATGATAGTGCGTGGCCAAGCATTTTTGGTCCTTACAGAGAATTGATGTTAAAATACACAAAACAAACCTGAGTCCAAACTGCAGCAGCAAAATTGCACTGTGCCAGCACAGCAGGATCAAGATGATGCTGGCAAGCAGTTTTGTGGAATTCTGGGTAAAAATATCAAAGGTAAACTTTTCAAAAATTTAGATTTGATCATTCTTTTTAGAACTTGTATATTCATCGTGCATGTAAATTGCTAAATATATGTGTATATTGATCTATGGTCAATTTCTATTTTAGGAAACTAATTTAAAATAATTACTTTACTATTGTTTTGGGAGGACTTATGTGGCATTAATAGTCTTTATTGATCTAAAAAAATGAGCAAATAAGCAGAGAAAAATGTCTATGGCTCGATAAAGAAAGTCATGTAGGATCATCAAAATTTGCTACATATCCCAAGTATTGAAATTACTTATCTATGAATTAGTATGCACACACAAAGGGCAAAAATGATCATAATATAACACAATTTTCCCATTTAAGAGGATCCTTGCTACATTTTTTGAAAGTATATCTTCAGAGTAGGTGTTAAAAAAGTAGAGCAGTAGAAACACATTTTTTCGGTCAACAAATTAAAACGTGAAGCGAAGATTCATAATGTCCTAAAACTACACTTTTATGACACAACCTTTATATATTTCTGAGAAATACATGTATTTGAAGTCCATTATTCAAGGTCCATATCACAAACAAGATCTTAATACCATAGCCTGTTAATGAGTTGCGTGGTCTAGTGGTTGACATGTCAATCTCTAGGAAAAGAAATGATATGTTTTTTATTGCTATTTTTCATATTTTTATTGTTTTTTTTTTTATTGGATTCAAACCCCCAGGAAAATGTTTAATGCCTGGGTTGAAACCCCAAACAAAACCTTTTTAAACATAGAATAATTTTTGCAGAGAGAATTCTCCACAAAGAATTTTCAAACCTTTCAATGATCAGATTATTGCTTCAAATACTTCGTTCACAAAGACAATTTAATTTTTATACACTTGAAGCTATAAGCATTTTCACGTCTAATTCGTCCATGTTCTTTTTAAAAGATAGGTCTTTGGGCTAGGGTTTTGGCACTATCCAGGAAAAATTGTTTATAGTATATTGTTAACTTTTAATTTCCTTATTCTTTTCAGTAGTCCATAACAGAGCCATCAAAGACTAAGGATGTTGATGACGTAAGTATCACATACATGTATAAAGGAAAGCATGATAGATAAACTTGCTTCCAATATTTCATTGATAGATTTGTACATGGAATATGTAGAATTGTACATTATAGAATGTATGCCATGCACATTCTTCATAATATTACACTGAAAATCATTCGTATGATGAATGAATGTAATATGAATTTCAACATGTAAATCTTCTTTATTATATCACTAGATACAATATCTAATTTAGATATACACGGAACAAATTGTTGTTATCATTTGATATATAAATACTGAATGTAAATTATAAACTAAGGAGTATTAATCACACAGAATGACACATCAGAAGCATGTACCCAAGAAGTGACTGCATTGTCCTCCACTGACGAGACTCGTCCTAATCCTATAGATGATGGACAGAAAGCTGTAGTTGAAAGGGTACGTATAATTCAATGATTTTCATTAAGTAAACTTTTTTTTCTTTCAGTTAGCGTAACCTTTTCAAGAACTTATGAATAAACCTTGGCAATTTATGTGTTTCAATAATATTTCCTTCTGACACAATTAAGTGTTGAAAATCTTTTCTAGAACATGTAAATACATTAGTTTCATGAATTAATACCAAGTGTGTTTTGTTCAGATAATTGATGGACTGACAGAGTTTGAGAAGTTAGCAGACGACAAGGTAGAGGGGAACATCCCCGGGGACAGCAGTGGTGATAGCAATGGGCTCCAACGGGTTAGCGACTGTTCTTCAACCCCACTCACAGACATACAGACAGAGGATAAGGTATGGAAAGATTATAATAATCAAACACATCTATATATTTATTATAATATATTTGTTTTATTAGTGTTTGTGTCTGTGATATATATAATTTCGTTTTGTTTATAGGACAAGTCTACCCGGAAGCGGAAGAGGCCAGATTGCTCTTTTACGCCTTCAAAGAGACTGAAGTCTGCATTGGTATGCATAATTACTTTTTTTTAAACTATACGTTTAAAGTCTTTTTCATTGCTGTCCCCTTTGATGGAATAAATTTCACTGATTTCTAATTTGATTAATTGTATAATTGTGTTTTCTACGTAGTTTGCACCAGCCGAGATTGAAGTACAGTGCCTGGTGCGGAAGTTTGCCGCCATGAGCGTGTAAGCCCCAGTAGAAGTATAGAATCGTTTATCTGTGTGACAGTAGACCTCTAACTGTGTGGTTTGGCTTAGAGGGATTTAGATAATTGATACTATACCTTTTTGTAAATATATGTACATAGTTCTGTATAGTTTTTAATCATGAATTTTAATGTACATGCTATAATTGTTCTTATTTCAGACCTATATTTATTTTTTTTAACAGTGAATTCATAATATATTTTGTTTGTTTGTTTTTCTTATTTATTTTATTCATTTATGCATGTTTGTTGTTGTGTTTTATTTTAAAGTATTTATTTTAAAATTTTTGACTTTGAATTCGTTATAAATTATAAGAATGATTTTTTTTTCTAATCAATACCTTCTTTTCAATTTCCTTTTTAAAAAAAATGTTTCAATTAATTGTTTTACAATATTTTATTTTTTCTTTAGATAAAAACTTTAATGATTGTTTTTCATTTTTTCTGCATATTAATTCTCATTTTTGGTTAATTTTATTCTTGCAACAAAGAATTTTCAGTGTCTTGTTTTATCTTTTCATGAAGATTGTAAATACTAGCTGGATTTTTTCAATAAACATAAAAATCTATTTCTTGTCTTTTAATTTTTTTTTCATACATATCAAAAAATTTAAATTAATTTCAAAGACTCTCTGGTCTGGAAAAAATTGGGATGAACGACCAGAGAGCTACAAAGTCACCCATAGAAAAAAATATATATTTATTGCGCACAAAAAGTGCGCATGCATGTTTCTCAATTCTTTTCTCCGTCTATTTAATCTGCCATCTCAAAATATTACTAAACATTTATTTCTAACATTCTTTTAAAACAAAATAACCCTCACAACCGTTTTTAATAGCCCTCCTGGTCCTGAAATTAAGATCGTCGAAAATTTCCTTTATCTATACTGCTGTTTTGGCTGAGAAACTTCCGCACTATAAAATATTTGTATACACTTTTATCAACAGGTGGCTTGGAATGTAGTTTCTGGTCGTCAATCCCATTTTTTTTTCAAACCTGCTTGAAATCTGCAGATATCTTACTGATAGCATCGTAAATTGCAAAAATCATTATAATTAATCACTGACCTTTATATTTACACTCTCACACTACTGTAGTGAAGTACTTGACAAAGTGTACGACACGTAAGAAGGTATGATCTTCAAGTTTAATCAAAAGATCGACCACCACCAGGACTACGTTGATGATATACCTTATATATATATATATATATATATATATATATATATATATATATATATATATATATATATATATATATATGTTCCTTAGCTTCTTAAGCATATAATGAGATATAAAGCTGAATCTCTCTACTACCAATACATTCCAGTCTCCACACACAAATATACGCTATGACTATACGATTTGTGGTAAAACAATCAACGTATAGAGGCGGAAAAAGGATAGCATTTTTTTGATATAATCGAAAACCCCTGATGCATAGCAAGGGTGTGTGTCTTGGATATGACTACATTTTCTGTTTTTCAAACTTATGTAGGAATTCATTTCAATTTTTCTTTTACTTTTATGAAACACATAGTGTTTTAGGAGTATTCGCGAAAGTAAAGATAGCTGAGGAACAGGGTACAATTTTATTGATAGTTCTGGGTGTCTGTGGCCAATGAGATGCTTATAATGGGGTCATATCAAACTTATTGACGTTTGTTGAAGCCTTAGCATTGGAAAAGTTTGATGAATTTCATATACATATTATGTGCTTTCGGTGCACAACTTGTTTTCACCACCAATAAGGTTAGGTTTTGTCCTAAGCCCTAGAATCTTAACCTTACATAAAAAAAATCAACAAATGAACATTTACTAGGATTAGAAAAATATTCCCGATCTACAGAAGCTTGTAAGAGCAACTCCCTTCCCTCACTCAATCTGTCCCCAGTCTCCTTACTCTCTTCACACACACGCACACACTCTCTCTCTCTCTCAATCTGTGTGTGTGTGTGTGTGTGCGGGCAATGCGTTACTATGTTGTAAAAAAACTTTTCCTGTATTATTAAGAAAATATTATTTATAGTCAAACATAATTGAAAGTTGTAGTGTTTTAGGTATGTGTAAACTTTTATTGCTAAGAATCACAAAAATCGTTGATCAGATAGGAATCAAAGTACAACGAATTACTTTTAAAAATTCTGTTGAACATTCTTGAATAATTAATTTGCAAGAGAAATACATCTGTTAATTTATAACCACGAAATAAACCATTGAAACGCACAATGTATCTACAACGTTGACGCCAAGAACAAAGACACTGATGGACCACCGACAACACTTTTCACCATTACTTTTTCTTTGACATGTATGTCCGCTTGAAACCATAAATAAAACTCTTAAAATTACAACACAGTGTTAACCAAAATATAAAGACTTAGAGTATGACATTTCTGTCAAATCTGCTAAATTTTTTGTGACCATTATGATTTTGTTTTATCAGGTGTATCTCTATTATAACCTCGTCAATATCTTTATCAGGCAAAAAGTTTTGTTATATTTTATGGTTACCGTGGCTACATGCTCTAAAGTTTAAAAAAAAACAGTATTTTTGAACATGCTCAGGATTCCTTTACTAACATTATAGTAAGACTTTGCTTACAGTGACTGTGTCCAAAAGTTGAAAACTTAACTTCTCTAATTTGGAAGATAAGAATATTTAGGCAAGCTTTTAATATGTGACTAAGGAAACAAAGTACTGAATAATTTTTTCCTACATTTTGATAATTACAGTGTAAATAAGAGCAAACATGAGATCAAATTTATCCAAATAATAGATTAAGAATCTAGTAACATATTTTGAGGACGAAATTTAATATTATTTACTCTAAGTATTGGTCGCTATGGCAATAAATTCTAGAAGAGATTTCTGCATAAATTCTCTTTATGTTCTTATTTGTTTCTACTCTTTTTATGGAGCACAGTTTTTAATAACAGGAAAGCATTTTTATCACGGCAAAGTTATGTTCTAAAATTCTACATTTCAGACATTCGAACTTATCGTACAAAAAGCGTTGCTTTAGAAAATATACATTTATGAAAACAAGAAGTCCATGGGACACAACGTTCACCTGAGTCACCATGGCCCGGCTAATTTTTAGGGAAAAAAAATTATCCTCTTTATTCAGATCCAAAAAATCATTTATATTAACCAGCTTTAAAGGTTGAGGCTATCTGCTAGCTGGCAGGAGTTATCTCTCCATAAGTGTTTACGAGTTATCTCGCATTACAACCTTAATACTTTCATTACGGAAAATTTAGCCCCACCCTTACTTCAGGTTCCTTAATTTGAAAAAAAAAAATCAACAGAACTTAAAAAATATTAGCATAATGATATGATATGGTATGGACTTTCTTCTCTTGATCCCGTATTCAGACTTGAATCTACACTAATCATGGTCCTGCTGTTTTTCATAAGAGTTTCACTATATAGTACCATTTAAAAATTTGATTTCCTATTGTGAGTAATCATGGACCTACTGTTCTTCAGAAAAAAATGAAGAATTTTCCCTATATATATTCCTATGTACAACTTTGATCCCCTGGTTTGGCCCAACCTACCCCCAAGGATCTTAGCTGGGAATCATTCTTAATGCTTAATTCTTAAGTTAAAAATAAATTCTTTCTTAAGAAAAAATTCTCAAGTCATAATCATATAAATTTTAAGCGCAATTCTTAGTTAAGTTTAATTCTGCGAAAATTAGAACACTTAAGTCCCCTAGTAACGCATAAAAATTACCAAATAAAAAGTGCACTCTTCTGTGATGGAGGAATTAAGTATAGCATGGTTCCTAATGAAAGATTAAGATTTCTTCTGTGTACTATTAGTTTTATTTTGTTAAAGAAAACTTAAGTATTTCTTATCTACATGCATCTGTGTAAATCACAATTGGGACGGAGTTAGTTGCATGAAAATGGTTTCAAAATAAAACTTTATTTCTTTACAGTGTTTGAGAATGCAATTTTTGTAGGAAGATATAGCAGTTGCAAAGGTGTGAGAGAGTAATTGCACGTGCTCAGTGCAGTTCCAAACAATATACACACAACAAGTTCCATATTTCTTTCTGCTGTGAAGAAGTAAATACAAGGTCATTGTTGCAGTCTTTGAAAAGTAACTGTTTTGTCAGCTGAGCTCTAGTCATCACGTGACCAGTAACCGTACAGCGCTATCAATAGAAAACGTGAAAGTTCTTATAATTACCGACGCTTTAGACTTACAGTGTATGTAGATAAATGATTTTTCAACGGTAACTGTCATTACACTTTTGCATGAATGTTAGATACTTTGCAGCGCATTGCGGCTACAATATATATATATATATATATATATATATATATATATATATATATATATATATATATATATATATATATAAGGAATCTTCTCTGTGACTCCACTTTTGTTCTGACTTAATTTTTAAAATTTATTTTCCATATATGGGATTGAGAGGTGAAAATTTGAAAATTGGGCAGCATCTTAACAAACAACTTTAAATTTCACATCTTAACATTTTCATGTGCCAAAAATAAATAAATAAATTCAGATGTTTGACTATATTAGACATAAACCAAAGTCAAATAAAATATGTGAGTTTCCAAGTCTAAACTGCGGCATTATACTTATGTCATTCGAAGAAAGATCACCAGAGATTTGAAGTGTTCATTCTACAACAAATAATTTTAATTTGTGCATATAAAGCGGTTTAATTCTTGTCGAACAAGGCAAAGTTTTGAGAATACCCGAAGTCAGCAAAAGAAAGAGCATTCAATACATCTCAATGATTCGCAATAGCCTGAGTAAATTTTATATAGATACATGTATAAGATCATTGGCCTTGTCATGATTTGCATATTGCCGTTTTTAGGAGCATTTTTATTTCTAAATTTTAAAAATTATTTGTGCATAAATAATTTTAGAGAGTGCTACTGTTATCTATTTGTCATTGTGTTCTGCAGGTTTCATGCATTTCGCTCGACCCAGTTAATCCAAA